TAAATAAATAAATAAATAACGTTTATATGTTTTATATATTATATAATTTTAATTTTCTTAATTTTGGTCAAAGTTAAGTTAATGCCAGCCTATTAATAAAATGTAACTTATATTACCTACTGGTAACTTACTGTAAGTTACATTGGTAAGTTACAAGGTGTAAGTTACATTTACAATCCTGAAGATGAACCAACCGCTTTATACCATCTAACATAAGCCAGTTTATGTGTTAAATTCTGAGAAGATATACGAATGTTGTGTTCAAAGAAATATTGAACTTGGCCAGGATAAGTATCAACACTCCTATTATGATTAATAAATTTAGCCAAAATAAAAGAACTTTTAATATGTCATGGCGAAGCAGTAGATCCAAAAATCTCAGTGCTGATTCAACATCTTCTGTATTGATTTACCTTAATGTTAACTATTATCAAATCAGGTGAATCATTCATAAATGGCTTTTTAAATATCAAATTTATATATGTATCTCTATAATATTCAATAAGATAATTGTGAATTGACTCCTCAAGACGAACATTTTCAAATCATAGTTGTAAAAATTCCCCTGAAAATTTTTTGCAACCAGTAACCAGCGATTCTAATATATTCTTCAAATTTATCAAAAATCAGTACATCTCTTCCGTCGAAAATTCATCAGCATTAGAAAGTGACCTAATGGATGATCGATTATTGAGTAATTCAAGCCCTTTTACTTCTAAATTAGAACTGACAATATCATTTACTTTTGCTTCAGCCATCAATTGGCACATTAGTTCAGGTTCAATTTGGCACTGACTATTAGGCAATAATCCTAATAAAATAAGCAAAATAAATAGTAAATAATCAGAAAATTAAACATTAAAAAGTTAATTACATTATCTAATACACCATTCATTCATTTAAACGAAAAGCATCAGAATGAATATAATAGACAATAATCATAAAAGCATTCACATAATGTAATGAAAGATGAAGATTCAGCATTATTTTTCCTTCACCATAATGCTCTTTAATTAATTTTATGATTTTTATTAAACTATTATAGGCTTCAACCATCTTATTGACTTCTACAATTCGTTTGACTAGAATTCTACACACTCTGACGAAATAAGTAAGAATTTTTTGATCTTTGGGTGGAAAGTGATCCTATAGTACTACAGTGGCATATATCAAGAAAAAGTTTCGCTATTAGTTCGCTGTAAAATTAGAAAACCCTTTGCCGCCATGAATTTTATCAGAGATCCGTCCCAAATCAGCTGGTACTTAAAGATTGTTAATTTTCTTTTGGATTGATTGAAGGATATTTTGTATTAGTATATTTTCATCAATTCATATTCTTTTTATGATCCATTTAGCAATGCCTAAAAAAGGCAATGCATAGAATCTACTAAAATAAATCTAATTAGATCAAATATGGCAGGCGTAGTAGTTCAGACTATCTTATACAATTTTCTTTGACAAATCGAGATTATTCAGCATTGCTTTTACATCATCGCCAGTTTGAAGCATTTTGTTGATGTGTTGTTAAATCTTTTGTAATAAACCATTTGTCTATATCCGCTATACCACTGAAATTATGTTGATTGTTAACATAATTTGCCTTTTTTTCACAATGATAATACAATACAAGAGCAGAAATATGTCCGCATAACTTTCGTATTGCAAGAATATCACACAAAGCAGCGCTGATACTTTTACCATTTGGACATTCGTGTGTGTAATTTAGAGTCACTCCTTCCCAAAGTGACTCAAATTCTATAACTATAGGTAAAAGATAATGGTTTATCTTGTGCAGGCTAATCTCATTAAGCCCTAGTAATATACCAAGTACAAGCATATTTTCAGGTCAAAATCGAATGTTATGCGGCAAATTATATATTGCGGCATATAGCACTCCTGTACTATAAATTGTACCTTCATACAGTTGGAAATAATTCAAATTAATGATCAACCCAAGGTGATTATCAGCTTTCTCTGGTCAAAAAAATTGTTTGATCCTTGATCAATCAATTCTTTGAAGTTTCACCATATCTGACTATCGTAAATATTTGATAAGATATTGTCTTGTTGTAAATGATTAGTTTAATGTCGTAATAACTTTTTGAATCCCGGTCTAAGAAATATACTAGAAAGTTGCTGTTGAATACTCGCAACTGGATAAATTAATTCAGGTTTGAATGATATGCTATTATTTAAAATAGTCTGCTTTGCTAAAGGAGTTTGACATTGCTTGAATTACTTTATAGCTAAATTAGAGAATTCTACATGGTTACATTTTATAATCGTTTGATTCTTAATGTTAGCTACATCATCCTTTTTATATAATTTGTGACATTTTTGACAAGCTGCAAAACATATAAATTGATCAACTAGGCCTAAAGTTTGTCTTGTCAGATACAAGAATTTTGGAAATGATTCATATTCAGATCTTTCACATTCTTCTAATAGAATTCTAATAAATTTTATTAGGGTCTCAGTTGCAATGTCTGGTAGTTTGAAATTCAACCTAAACTTCATTATTCATATTTAAATCTATACAGTTCAGTCTTATTTTAGTAGTTCTAAGACGGTTGGTAAATTGAACACAGAATGAGAATAATCTTCAAAATTATTCAAAAATTCAGCATTATTTCTAACATCTCTTTCATTATTTTCGGTTAATGAATTACTATCAGAATCTTCAGAATTATTGAAATTACCTCTAAAATCATCTCCACTTAGCGTGATTACATGTTGAAAGATTGCTGTTCTTTTCCTTTTACGTAAAAGAAACGTGAAAGTTTGTCGTTCTAACACATTATTTTTGTCGATTATTAATTGTGTCGAATATCTCTTATCAAATGGCTTAATTAATAATCGAGACATTGGAGTCTCAGTTGGTAAAATATTAATAGATGAAGATGTCGATGTCTCATTCGCTTTCATTTTATGTACCCTTTTTGTGTATAGATCGACCAGTTTTCCATTACATTTGCTGCAAAGACATTGAACTTTTGACCTTGGTGTTCTTGTCGTAATTTTAACATCTTCTGTAAAAGATGGATTTGGGTTCAAAGAGCTTAGGATATCCTTTAAAATATTAGCGACTGAACGTTTTCTTTCATTTTTAATAAAAATGATAAATGGAGTAGTGAAAGTTATTTTATTGAATTCACCACATAAAATTTTACATTATATATATATATAAACTATTTAACTTTAATTTTAATTTGACTAACTCATTGATTTATTGATGAATATAAGTTTGATTTTATTAATTTGACTAATTCATTGATTTATTAATAAATATAAGTTTAATTTTCTTGACTAATTGATTGATTGATTGAAGTTTGATCAATAGCAAAATAAAAAAGTATAAATAAAAGATAGTTGACTCTTCCTATCACAAATTTTTTTTTCTATTTTCTTACAATGATAACATTTTTCTTAAAGAAAAATTATTCAATATATCTCAACCACTAAAGAGTGTCTATTATTCTAGGTCAAAAATTCCAAATACTCTATAAATGGCACTAGATCAACAACTTGCTTCATTTCACCTAACAATAACTTTACCAGTTCGTCTAATACGTCTAACAATTATGCCAGTTCATCCAATAGTTGCGTAAGCACGTCTAACAACTGCGTAAGCTTTTTATTCAACAATCATGCCAACCTGTCAAACTGAAGAATTAACCAAACAAAGATATCCTAATATTAGAGTTCCAAGATCAATTGATAGTTATGATGAATGTCAAACTGGTAATAAATAAGTCTATTTTATTGTGAATTATAAAAATCAACTATATAGTATCACCATCAAATTTCACGTTGTCTATACTTCTAAATATAAAAATTGAAAAATTGAATCAAATAATCTAAACAGTTAATTCAGAAATTGAGAATTTAAGAAAGGAAAACAATTAGCTGCAAAATGAAATCCAACAGCAATGAGAAAGAGAAGCTGAATTCATAAAAAGAATTAAGGCCTGAAAGGATAGGTTTGACAGTTTGAAGAAGATAACAACATGCTTCAGACGTTTAACAATAAATTTAAAAATGAAAATGATAAATTAATGATCGAGAGTAATAAATTAAAGGCTGAATTAACACGTTATCATTAATATTGAGTTCTGAGAAATATTCCTCTACCAATTATAGATAAAGATCAGTATCACTGAATGAAACGAATGCTGAAGAAGCAAGAGTAGGAATTTTCTTATGATTTGACAAATTGTAGTTGTTATATAATGCATATGATATTTCGTTATAGACTGAGATGAAAAATCTGATGAAAGGTTAGATACCAGCTAAATATCAATTGGATTATGAAAAGACGTTCTTTAAACAATTGACAACCATTTACGAAAAACTGATTTCAGAATTAAAGAGGCTCATAGATGGAGTTTTTAATCCTTCTGTAACACAACTTTTGAATTAGATCAAAGCTATTCACAAACACAGAAGAGATCGATTGCGAAAATGACAGACCAGAGCATTAAAAAAGATCGATCAAAGGTTACATATGAATACTCAACTTTCTGAAGTGATTATTTATTTAGTTAAATAAAATCTTTTTGTTTCATTTATTTTATACATGCAGTTGTTTGATAATTAATCTGAATAATATTCGACAGAAGAAAAATAGACAAATAAAAATGGCATTTAAATTATTCGACATGAATGATGAAAAGTTTCAAAATTTGACAAAAATAAAGCTTTATCAATTTACAAAAAAATGAATGCCATTCGCCTGAACAATCAGATAGTGAAGACGAATATTGAATAAGGCAGCAGAAAGAAAAAAATTTTCTACATGTCTATAATTATTTGTGGCGCTCAAAAAAGATAAATACTATTTTATAATATATATTATATATTTATTTAGACAATACTTATTTAACTTCATTTTTTATCTTTGCATTTTTGATAGTTAAAATCATTACTTAGAGACGTGTTAGACCACGCATCTGAACAATTTCAGCATATGAAGAAATAACAAGAATGTATCTATAACGACGAGGTATATTTACTTCAAATAAAGCGCCTAAAAATATATCTAAATGGGCGACCGGTCAAAATAAATTTTTATATGAAACAGACTGGATAAATGAAACTAATGAAATTGACCACAATTTTGATGCTAAAATTGATATTAATGATAGTAGTAACAATTATCTAATAGACTTTTTAATGGACGAAATACGACTTGAGGACTTTGATGAAGAGGGTGAATCATCTACGATTGTGTTTCAAGTAAGTCAAATAATTTATTATTTTTATATTTAAGAACTAATAATTTCTATTATCATGTCATGTTTAAAATTAGGGAACTTATTTGACTGACCAAAAAGGAAAAAGAAAATTAACCGAATTAAACGAAAATTATTATTATGGTAATTAACCACTTTTTATTATTCGAATTTAATTCAAATATTAATGTTTCATTATATACAATAAATAATATATATATATGTATATTAATTATTATAATTAAATAATATAATATAAACGATTTTATTGCTATATATAATAGTATGTATAAAGTATAATGAAATTAGGTTGAATAACTTATTAATTTACTTTGAATATATTACTAATGCTAGTCGAACATTCTGTTTGAATATTGGACTATTGGCAGCCTAATCACGCTAAAACTATAGACCTTAATTTGACGCAAATTAGATTACCATTAGGTCTATATTCAACCTGATTGAATTTAAGTCTAATGGCCATTTTTTGACTGGTGTTGGTAAAGAAAAAACTAATAAAAGTTTTAATTTTCAAAAAAAAAAGAAAAAGATAAAAAAAAACACTTTAAAAATTTATCACATAGGTTGATTGCTAGAAAAATCAGGTTCTGGGAATTTTTTAACAAAATTGAGATTTTTATTGCATTTTAGTTTTTGATGTTATTAGATTAAAATGTATTAAGCTCTTAATTTAAGTGAAAAATTTCTCAGAACCTGATTTTCCTAGAAACCCTCCTACATGATATTTAACAATTTTATAGCTTAGTTTAAATAATTATAAGATTCTACTACAATTTTAATTGGTTATCTCATGGCAAGTTTTTTACAATATTATAAGCATTTTATAATTAAGCAACAAAGTAATTACACTAAAGTTACAAGTCTTTTGAAAAAAAGGAAGTTCAATTTGGATTATAACTGATTTTCTAATTTTGCAGATTTCTTTTGTTTAATTTTGAATTTCATTATGAGGTAATGAATTAATATATAAACATCATCAAAATTTATGCTTAAATTAATGATTAGGAAGAAATTGAATTAATATCACAGATGAAATACAAAGGAAAATAGACTCTTAGAATATATTGAAATCATTATCAGAACTTTTAAATATAAAATCTCTCTTGAAGAAGCAAATGAAATGGTAAAACATTAGATGAAGTACAGTTAGAAAAATTAAATCATATTAAATAATTGAAAAGAAGAAATAAGATTTAGAGGTAAAGCATATTAACTTTAAAACAAGTCTGCCCTTTATTAATAAAAAATTGTTGAAGTGTAAGATTAATACTGAAAATATATTAATTCTTAGAATAAATTAAAAAACAACTAAGAGAAGAAGAAGAAAAGCATGTTCAGATAACAAAGATCTTGAAAATAAATACAGAGATACTGTTAATGTATTTCAGTTAAAATAATTATAATAATTTACAAATAAATAAACTTTTATTAATGATAATTGTGCTTATTTAATAAGCAATTTGAAATCGAAACAAATGAAATTATAGCAGAATTGGTAAATTATGAGAAAGAAGATATTAACATGAAGAAAGAAAGAAACATACCAATTTTTAAAAAGAAGAAAGTGACAAAAGCAATTTCTATAATAGGTTTTATTTGTTTATGTTACTTTGATGCACAGATATTCGAGAAATACAATAAGCTTTTTATTATAGGAAAACAGCACTATGATTTATTAAAAGGATTTGAATAATCAAATGGAAGCTTGGAAATATCTTTAAGGTTCAAGAAAGTTAAACTTGAAAAAATCAGAAAAAGCTTAAAGGATATGTAAATCGATTATTTAAATCTAATTTGGTAAATATCTTTTTAATATTGTAACTGAACTTAATTTTAATAAAAGAAAGTCAGAAGTTTATTCAGAGAACTTGCACCTTGATTAGAGAAAATCAATGTAAGGCAATCACTTATTGATATCAATCAGAGTATAACATTTTAAAAGAGAAATTTGATTCAATAAAACAAGATCTTAAATAAGCAGAAGATGCTGTTATAAGGTATCATTGCTTTTTTTTTGATGTTTCTTTAGGAACAAGAATTTCATTTAAAAAGAATCAAATAGAGATATGAAACTATTAATTCAACAATTGGACACTGATTTAAAGGTTATTATTTAACATTTAAATTAATAAATTAATTTAAGATTCTCATAAAAACCTTTTATCACTTTTAGCATTACCTTAGTCAGCAAGAACATTTCAGTCTAGTCTTGCCGATTCTTGACAAAGAGAAGATGAGGCGAGAAGACTTAAATTCTTTTCAGTCTAGAGGACAAATTCTTAGCAGCTATTGGACATCGGAGCAGAGCGTTCTATAATTTTGTTCGCTGAAAATCTTATTTATTTAATTAGGATCGTTTGGGTAACCTTGGTGTCATTGATGATAAATACGATGTCGCGATTTCAACTGCCTGTCCTGCATTGAACAACATTTTAGTTTGATTCTATTGAAGTTGGACAAACTTTTATAGATATACCTTAAAAAAGAAACGATTTAGTTGGACAAACTTGTATAGAAATACCTTAAAAGAAACGGGTTGCGTCATTTCATTCTTTCGAATGACTGCCTACCATGGACATGCACCCGATACAACCACCTGAAAATGTTCCCCGTCTTTTTGATCTTATTAAGCCGAAAGACGACTAGCATTTTATAGGTGTGTTACATATACTTTGGTTGCCAAAAATCTACAACAATCGAATAGGATCACATTTAATAGTACGCGCGTAGTGACGTTAAGTGGTCAAATGATTGACGGCACTTTAAGCGGCGGAGGTAACAAAGTATTTAAAGATGCCATGAATTCAAAATTTTCTTTTGAAACAACCGAGACAATAGTGAAATTAGAAAGATGGCTTGCGCAAAACGTATTATCTTTACTGAAAAAGAGTAGCCGAGTTACGGTATGCATGTAACTGTATTTTACTAATAAATTCTTGTTAAGTGTATGTTACACAGAATCCTTTTTTTTAAAAAAAAATAATTACTAAGGTTTTTTTGCTATATGGCAAAAAAATAATCCAAGCATAGATGATACCGCTATGGACAATTAAAATACAAATTGATCATCTACACAAGAGTTAAAGACCTTCTTTTAAAATTGAAAGATTTTGCAAGCATAGAGCTCAAAAGTTCTAAAATAGATCATTATTATAATATTAAAAATTAATAAAATCCTATTTAATTTTACAAATTTATATAGATTTTTCTTTTTGTGTTATCTGCATTAATTACCGATTGAATATATCAAAAACAAAAGGTCTTTAATGGTTATCTCAACATCTATTTTATTTTTTTGTGTATCATAAAAATGATGATCGATTTTAAGGTTAAAAATATGATATTGAGGAATTTGAGATTTCCTTCAAACTGTAAACAGACAACTAAATTTAAAAATTTCTTTTGTAACGTTACAAAACGTCATTATTTGAACTTTTGTCTTCCTATTAACATGGCAAAATTAATTGACGGTAAAGCCATTGCAAAGTAACGAATCCATTTTCAGTTTTTATTATTATTATTTTATTTTATATCATTTAAATTGATTATTGAAATATTTTAGGAATATTCAAGTTCAAATTAAGCAAGAAATTTGTGAATTGAAACAAAAATATTCAAGTTTTAAACCCTATCTTGCTATCATTCAAGTGGGCGAAAGAGAAGATTCTAAAGTTTATATTCGTCAAAAAGAAAGAGCCGCCAAGGAAGTAAGTTTTACTTTGTATCTCGTGATATGTTTTTGTGTGACTATTCACAAAGGATCGTGAAATTTATTACAATTTACCTTCTAGGCGGGAATTGAATTAACGCTATATAAGAAAGCCGATTCGATTACAGAAGATGAGGTTTTTTTATATGATATTTTGAGAATGCTTTAATTTCATGTCATTAATTCATGCTCACGTGACTTTGTATAAATCGAAACTAGCTTCTAACAGCTATTCGTGAATTAAATGATAATCCTACAATTCATGGAATTTTAGTTCAATTACCATTGCCATCACATATTAATGAAAAAATAATTACTGAATCCATTAACCCCAAAAAAGATGTTGACGGGTAATTTAATTTTTGTCGAATCATTTTTTTCCTCGAGTTGGACAAAATACTATTTTAACCAAATCTTACCTTTATTTTAACATTTTTTTTTTTTTTTTTAGATTTCATGCAATTAATATTGGAAATTTAGCTAAAAGAAATTGTATACCTTTATTTTCACCTTGCACACCCAAGGGGATTCTTGAATTATTAAAAAGATCTGGTATTGCGAAATAATATATTTATTTTACTTTTTAATTAAAATAGAATTAAAGCTGATTTTGTTCATAGGCATTGAGATTTGTGGCAGAAAGGCTGTTGTGGTTGGTCGTAGTGACATCGTTGTAAGTCACATAATGACTAATTTTGTCTTAAAACACGCGACATCATTCCAATTAAACCGATTTTTTAAATTAGGGATTTCCTGTGTTTGCACTTTTATCAAGTTGTGATGCCACAGTCACATTATGTCATTCAAAGACGAAAAATCTTCCTGAATTAGTTAGTATTTGTTTCGTTCTTTTCAGATTTTAAAGAGAATTAGTTTTTAATTTGTATCATTATAGGTTAAAACCGCAGATATACTTGTAGTCGCTATTGGAAAAGCCGACTTTATTAAAGGAGATTGGATAAAACCAGGCGCCGTTGTTATCGATGTCGGCACAAACGCGATTGAAGGCAAGTATAAATTTTCATCCATGAAATATATATGTACGGTGAATATTATTAATCTAATTTACACGAATTCACAGATTCGACCAAAAAATCTGGAATAAGATGGGTAGGGGATGTAGAATTTTCTAGTGCATCAACCGTGGCATCTTATATTACTCCAGTACCTGGTGGCGTAGGGCCAATGACTGTAGCAATGTTATTGCAAAATACTTTCGAAAGTACAAAAAGATTTTGGCAAGAAAGTAGAGAAAAAAAAATTTCTTTACTTTCTTTAAAACCTCTTTCGCCTGTTCCTAGTGATATTGATGTCGCTTCTGCTCAAATTCCTAAATCTATAAAAACTTTGGCTGAAGAATTAGGATTAGCCCCAAATGAGGTTATATACCGAATTTTTTTTTAGTGATATTCTTGTTTTAAATTTCAAGATATTGTATATTAAAAATCTTTTTTTTTTTCTCGATAGTTCGAATTGTATGGACAATATAAAGCGAAAGTCAACCTTTCTGTACTTGAAAGATTGAAGACAAAAAAGGATGGAAAATACATTGTAGTTACAGGGCATGTTTAAATGTTACATTTATAATTTGTATGGTTTTTTTTTTTTTTTTTCAAACATCTTATTAAATTATTACATGAATTTTATTTAGAATTACACCTACTCCACTTGGAGAAGGTAAATCAACAACAACAATAGGAATAGCACAGGCATTAGGTGCTCATTTAGGAAAACTTACATTCGCATGTGTAAGACAACCATCACAAGGTCCAACATTTGGTATTAAAGGCGGAGCTGCGGGTGGAGGTTACGCTCAAGTTATACCTATGGATGAATTTAATCTACACTTGACTGGTGATATACATGCTGTTGTTGCTGCAAATAACTTATTAGGTAAGGATAACTTTACGTGTGATTGTATTGATGGATTGCGCGTTAATAACTATACTTACATTTTAGCTGCTGCGATTGACGCACGGATGTTTCATGAAAAAACTCAGTCTGATAAGGTAAATTTTAACATCACATTTCATCGTTGGAAATCGAATGAATTATTTTCAGTCACTAATTCTACTAAATCTATTGACACATTAGGCTTTGCTTAATAGATTATGTCCATCTAAAAAAGGAATTCGTAGCTTTGCGCCAGTTATGCTTAAAAGATTACAAAAACTTGGTATTGATAAAACAAATCCTGATGATTTAATACCTAAAGAAATAAAAAAGTTTGTTAGATTAGATATTGATCCAGATACAATCACATGGTTTGTTTGTTTTCGTTTATGTCTAATTTTGACTTACAAAGTGGATGTTTTGTCGTAATGAATGCGTTAACGAAAGTGAGCTTTTTTTTAATATGGAAAATTTAGGCAACGAGTTATTGACACGAACGATAGATTTTTACGTAAAATTACAATAGGACAAAATCCAACAGAAAAAGGTCAAACAAGAGAAACGGGATTTGATATAGCGGTAGCATCCGAATGTATGGCAATTTTAGCTTTAAGTACATCATTAGCAGACATGAGAGAACGATTAGGTAGAATGGTAGTAGCCAGCAGTTTTGACCGGGGAGAAGGCAGTGAATCTATAACAGCAGATGATTTAGGTATTGGGGGGGCATTAACAGTATTAATGAAAGATGCTATAAAACCTAATCTCATGCAAACTCTTGAAGGAACCCCTGTATTTGTACATGCTGGTCCTTTCGCCAATATTGCGCATGGTAATAGTTCTATATTTGCAGATAAAATTGCTTTGAAATTAGCCGGAACAGAAGAGGATGAAGAGGAAAGCGGATATGTCGTTACTGAATCTGGGTTTGGGGCTGATATTGGAATGGAAAAATTTTTTAATATCAAATGTAGAGTATCTGGATTAACACCTGATGCTGTTGTCCTTGTTGCCACCGTTAGAGCCCTTAAAATGCATGGAGGTGGTCCTGAGGTGAGTACACTACTTTAGGAAAACGTATCTCCTTTTTTTCCTTTTTTTTTTTAACGATCAATAATCTTGGATATTGATTAGGTTACTCCTGGTAAACCTTTACCTGAAATTTATCTAAAAGAAAATCTTGAAATGTTAGAAAAAGGATGTGAAAATCTTGTCAAGCATATACAAAATGCAAAAAAGTTTGGATTACCGATTATAGTAGCGGTAAACCAATTTATAACTGATAGTTCAGCTGAACTAGAATTAATACGTAAAAAAGCTATAGAAGCTGGAGCTGATGATGCTGTACCTTCATCGCATTGGGAATTCGGTGGTAAAGGTGCATTGGAATTAGCAAAATCCATAGTAAAGGTTACTAGCACAGCCAAGATTGTGAAAGGAGATTTTAAATTTTTATATGATTTAGATAAATCTATTGAGGAAAAAATTGAAATTATTGCCAAAGAAATGTATGGAGCTGATGGAATCGAATTAAATGATGAAGCTAGAGAAAAAATCCAGCGTTTTACAAATCAAGTAAGGATGTTATTTAAGATTATTTTTATTTTATTTTTTTTTAAAAAAAAAAAAAAAAATGGTATAATTAAATATAAATTGTAGGGATTTGCCAAATTACCAATATGTATGGCGAAAACACATCTATCGTTATCTCACGACCCAACACTTAAAGGCGTACCAAAAGGGTTCATAGTACCTGTACGTGATATAAGAGCATCTGTTGGCGCAGGATTTTTATATCCTTTGTTAGGTGAAATGCAAACTATGCCAGGATTGCCTACAGTAAGTTTATTAATGTTTTTTATTTCTTGAAGAAACAATTTTAATGATCTATTTTAAACAAATATAGCGACCTTGTTTTTATGATGTTGATATAAATCCGGAAACTGAAAGAATTTATGGACTATTCTAATTGATTCTTTTCATTAGCTTATTGTATTTTTATCATAACTCGCTTAACTATTATTCTTAATAAATTAACTATATAGCGGAAATAATACATTTTTGTTTGTTTTTCACGTTCCTTTGTTTAGAATGAAAATATTATAATTACCCAAAATATTTATATTAGTAAATTTTCATTATATTTTATTACATCTCTGTTGATATAGTTACCTTTATATTAAAGAAGTTAAACTTGTTAGATGTCTTGGTAGAAGTAGATAATATTTACTGATTAATATTTAATGAAACTAGTTTTTGTAGTTGAAATCAGTCAAACTGTATAACTTAATGATTCCGAGTTCAAACTAAATATCAATACATAAAATTATCACTTTTTACTTTTTATACTTTTTATACTTTTTTTTTTAATATACTATTATTAGAGATAATATTTATTAAGATAATGTATTAATCCCTTAATACTGGTCTCTAATACTTAAATTAAGTCTTAACTAATCTTTTAGTTTTAAAAACAATCTGTTAATCATAAGAATCATTATAATTTATTATTATTAAACCTTAATATAATATTTAATCTTACTAAATTTGCTAGATAATATAGTAAATTTTTAAATAATAAAAGGTAAAAATTTTAAAAACTCATTAAAAAATTCAAAAAAAAAAATAAAACTATATATTAAAAATGATAAAAATATATTAAAACTTTAATAAAAAATAAGCAAATCTAAAGATTTAAACATTTTATCAATTTTAAAATATATTAATAAACAACTTAAACCTTATTGATAAAATCAGATTTTAAAAGATAAATTATTATAATATCTATATTATTAAATTTTTTATTATGTTTATTTTTTTTTATTTTGTAAATATATGTAATAAATATATTATATAAGTTTATATAATGTATAACAAAAAAAACTGAAATTATAAAAACCAGTTTTAAATTTGTATTAGCAATATAAAATATTATAAATTTTTTTTATTTGAAAGCTAGAAACAAGCTAATTAAAATAATAAAATTTAAAAAAAAATTTGTTTTTTATTATTTTTAATAATCAATTTGCAATGTTATTTTATTAAACATACAAATTTCATTAAAACAGAATTCAGAATTACCCTATTTTTTAGCCATAAATCTTTTTAATTTTACAAGATTTTTGGCATTTAGTACTATATATTTCCCTTAATAATAGCCTATAGTTTCTATCAGATTTAAGTTTAAACTATTTGAAGGTCAGTCTATAATCTTTAAAATATTATTTTGAAGAAATTCTTAAACAAGACAGCTCATATACTTCAAATCATTATCTTACTAAAGTCACCAATTATTAAGCATATTATCAATCTCTAGAATATAATTTTCAAGAATTTCAACATAAAATTAGGCATTTATTATTTGACAAAAATAAAATAAACTTGTTTTGCCTATTAAGCAAAACTCACCTTATACAAAAATTTTTATTTTGTCTTTTAACATAAGACATATTGATCAGATTTTTTTATATTAATACTTTACAATATTTCAGAAAAGTTAGAAGTCATTCTATTTTAAAAATAAAGTCATACTTCAATTATTATTAATATATTATTGTATTTATTTAATACATTTTTACTTATAAGTAGCAATAAGTATTAGAATTACTCTTGAAAGTAATTTTTATAATTATAGGCAGTTAAATATCTTAAAATTATCATATAGAACATTTTAAGGTCTTTTGGTATAATTTTTTGGATAAAGTTCTTATTTGTATTAAAGTATTTCTCAAATACTTTATCTAAAAGAGTTAAAAAATTTACCAATAATTAAGGTTACTTGGCTAAAGTTATTTTGAATTTAACAAAATATCTAAATTATAGTTTTATTAATTTTTTACTAAAGTTTTAATATAGTTTCGTATTTTTATAAGTTTTGATATAGTTTTATCTTTTCTAGAATTTTGTAGATTTTTTAATAAAGTTTCATTAAATTATACTTTTTTCATTTAGACGATTTACAAAACCTCTAATTTTTTCAACAATCTTATTTGTGATTTTTCTTAAACAATTACTATCTTTTTTTCTAATTATAATATTAGTATTTTTTAATTTTTTTATATTATCATATATAGTAAAAAGATGTATTTTTATAATCCCATTAATTTCAGTCTCATTGTATATTCTCTTATTTCATAATTGTAAAATTGTTTGATATTGTTTTTTTTATTTTAAAACCTTTATTTTATTATATAGTAGTCAAAAAAACAAATAAACAACATTGATTAAAAAGATTAGAATTTATTTTATATGATTGTTATCTTAATTTTTTATTTTAGAAGATAAATTTTAATCATGTAAGACTAATTATATCATATTATCAAAATTCTAATTTTTTTTCTTATATATTATATTAGTTTTATTAGTAAAATAAAATATATAAAAATAAATTTACTAATAAAAAGAAAAATATATATATTATTTTCAAATTATTCAAATTTATCTAAAAAATATTTATTCAATTTAAAAATTAAAATTTGTTTATTAAAATTAAAATAGATAAAATAATTTCTAAAAAAAAAAAAAAACTTTTTCTGTCGATCACCAAAACCAAAAAATGACTGAAAAAAAAAACGCTTGTAATAACAACTCCAAACCTAACCAAGTTCATTTTTCTCTTATAGAGAACAATCAACAATAATAACGTCTAGCTAAGAAACAACATATTAAACAACCAAAACAAACGGAAACTTCAAATGTCTCTAGAAGCAACTCCAACAATCCTACAGACATAGAAGTTGAAACTTCGCTTCCCAAAACTTTAGACAAAAGAAAAGGCCCTGAAACTTCTGACAATAATACCAATATCTCCCTTGACGAAGACCAAGCCTTTGACGTCTCTGAAAATAGCCTCAATAATAAACAAAATAAAAAAAATAAAATCCACTTAGAACGTGAAACTGAAGCCTTAATTTACTTCGCTTACTGCGTCGCAGATAAGTTTTACCCTAGTAAATTCAATAGAGATAAACAAAATGAAGCATGTGATTTATTTGCATTACACTACTTGTCTTTTATTAGTGCGTCAATTCGTACTCACCCTGAGGACTCAACAAAGAAAATCGTCTGAACTGACTTTACATCACATGTTGAAGCAAATAATGCAATTACACTTAAATTTTCATGTTTAGAAAATAACACGTTTTTACCCTTACAATCAAACCAATAGCTAAGTACATCCCTAAGTTATCAATCTGTTTTACTGAGATCCCGATCTTGACTACTGAATCAAATATTAGATTGACCTTTTCCTTTTTTGAAAAGATTTCCCGTTGCATCATGTTCACTAAAAACCTTTGGCAGCAAGCTACCCTCACATTTGAACAAGACACAGATATGACTACCCTGAATAAACTTAACAGTTATTTTATCCTTAAAGATTTAGTCAGAGTCCACTCATATACTATGTCAGTTGAAGACGTTAGAAAAAAATCAGAATTTTCATTGAAACTAACTAACCTTTCACTCGACACAAATAGGCACCATTTAATCTCTATTGGTAATGCTATTGAAGCGATTGCCTAGGTCATTTCCAAATCACGTGTCAACTACAGAAATTTACAATACGCCATCTTCTATTTTAAAACCAAAGAATCTATGAATGCAACAAAAAATGGAGAAACTTATTTTTTTGATAGGAAATGATTAATCTGAACTGATCCTAATGCAAAACTTTGCTTTACTTATCAAGTTCTAAGATACCAATCGCAAAATTATCGTAAAATCGTTCAGTCTCACAAGACTGACAAACTCAACATTTAAATCAGCGATACCAATCTGCACAGTTTCATAATTATAAAGCACCTATCGTTATGTCCAGACTACTAACTCACCCTAAAAAACAACAAAATATAGAAAACTTAAACTGAGCTAACAACTTAACAATACCATTGATAAATCCAAACCCAACAATATTATCACTCTGCCTAATAGTCAGACAACATCTCCTAAGACCAAACTATTAAATGATGATTGAAACCCGCAACGTACCAATCCAATCCATCCTGTCAATGATAAAGGAGAACAAACCCTTGATGCTAGTATACATGCATCACATAGCTGGGCTGATGATACATTAGACGAATTTTGTATGTCGTATGTTATTCCAAACCAACTATTCCAACCTGAATTACTTGCTCAGATTTCTAATCAACTGATAGCTATCTCTGAACAACTAGCTAAAATGGAGTCAGACCTCTATTTGACTGCAAATCGAGTTGCTACAGTTGAAAAAGTCCTTAATATCAACGTCCTACTTCTCCACCAAGCAGAGTTACTTAACAAATCTTTTAACGAAGATAGTATAAAAACTGAAGAACATACTTATGTAGCTGGTCTCTATACAAAAGACAATATTATCACCAAACAATCAGCTGAACTTATTACTTTGAAAGATGAAAACACTCTCCTTAAAATCAACCTTGAAAATAATATAACCAAACTCAATAATGTAGAACGTGCCATTGCTAATATGCAACAAATCTTACAAACACAACTTCAAATCAATCCAGATGCCTTTACTGCTATTGAAGAAGTTGCTCCCCCTTTTAGCTATGAAAAATCAGTTGACGGTGTCTTTATCCCCCCTACTCCTAAATATTTTTAATGATTGATAATTCACAGAATTTTAAATGGGTTAGCCCCAGTAACCCGATATCAAGCAAAAAAATTACAACTACTAACAATACTCTAACTTATTTTTGACCAACAATACATTATCTTCTCGGCTCAACATTGCGATACATAATATTCGCTCTTTCGTTCAACCACAAAAATAACAATATTTACTCAATACTTACAATATTAATCACTTAGATATAATAGGTCTTCAAGAAATAAACTTTAAATCAACCAACAACACTGTATCTTTTTCAAAATCAACTTCATCACAATACTCGCATTTTTTCAATTTTGATTAACAAGCACAGAGTTCAGGTTTCAGAGTTGGCCTTCTTATTAAGAAAAATATTA